TCGAGCACAGCAGCCCTTGGACAGCATGGCTGCACTGTCGCCAGCTCCCAGCAGTTCCTGCCCAGGGCTCAGCTCTTCCCAGAGCTGACAGTTCCGGGGCGGGAAGCATTTCTGGGGCTGGAGCCACGTGCAGCCAGGCCTCGGAGAAGACAGCCAGCACGCACACACACCTCTTGAGGGTGTGGTCTGGGAATGGCACCAGGGTGGGCCCACTTTACATCATCCCCTGCCCCTTAGGCACAGCCACAGTGGTGAGGGAACTGCTGCCTCCTCCGTGGTCACAGGAGCAAAGGGACACAGACAATGCCCCCTCCCATGCAGGACTTTTCTCTGAAACAGGCCACCCGCCACCCCAGCCATCACCTCATCCAGCTTATGGGAAAAGGGAAGGAAATCCAGCTTCTGAAGTAAAAGCCTGATGAAATCCCCACAATCTGACCTGCTCAGGCTGCACATCCCCCTCCACCCAGGGAGCCCCATGGCACACAAGGCACAGCTGTAGAGTTGGGGCTCAGCTGCAATCCCAGAACAGGGACGTCACCAGAGCCACCGACCCACTGCAGATGGCTCTGTCGCAATTCAGGGCTGGGCACTAAGGGCTGCAGTGGGGCCTGCCTAGGCACCAGCACTCCAGGACCTGACACTGTCTCGGGGCCGGGAGCACCCTGTGGTGGCGGTCCATTACCACCAGGTGCCACTGCCGAAACACTTGCACCACACCTGCTGCAGCTCAGTCAACACTTTACAGGAGAGCCCAGGGCCAAGGACACAGCTGGGAGCACTGCCTGACATCCCTCATGGACCCCGGGCTAGAAGCAGGCTTGCAGGGCCTGCCCATGTCCCTAAGCTGCCCGCGTGCCTCCACTCGCTGCAGATGTCTGTTAAATAAACTCAATGCCCTCGTACTTCACGCTCCCAATCCTGGTCTCAGGCAGGAGGAAGCGCCCATCCAGTGTGAAGGCCATGATGTAGCTGGAGATCTTGCCATTGTCCTCTTCTGATTTTAGTGCCACGATGATCTGGTCGTCCGTGTCCGGGATGAACTTGAAGGAGGAGAAGCCATGGGTGGGAACCACATCGCCCACGCGCCCCACTGTCACATCCCCGAAATCCTGGGTGGAGCTGAGCAGCAGGTTGGTGCCTCGCTGCTCGTCCGCCTTCTCGCTGTAGCGCTCGTGGCTGGCGCGGCGCGGCAGGAAGAACCAGCGCTGCAACGTGTCACTCCAGGAGGCCGACTCGTGGATCAGGTACCCTGCGGCAGGAAGCGGAGTCTGACCACACAGACCACAGGGGCACAGCCACGCCAGGATGGGACCCTCCCCCTCCTCTCCTCCTTCCCTTCCAAAACACCCCACAGCCCCGCACAGGTATCCCCTATGAACTTTTTTGCCTACTCCTGCCCCACTGCCTGGCAGCAGCTCCCCAGTTCCTCCCAGAGTCAGGCAGGGCCACACAGCACATCCCAGTCTGCCTGGGAGCCCAGCTGCCAGGCCCAATGACAACTGAGCCACCCTTCAGATACTCCTGGCACAGGCAGCAGAGGAAAACGACCACGACAAGGTGAGATCTCTGGCCTCTGGCAGCCTCTAAATCTCACCCAGTGCCAGCATCCCTGGGAAGGGTGACTGTATGGCTCTGGAGCCATCAAGAGTGTGGGATATTGGGTGGCAGGAGGTTGCCCTGCTCCATACCTGGGGGCCGGATCCCCGCTGCAGCCCTCAGTGTGTTGTAGTTTGTCACCCAGTTCTCGTGGCTCACATCACCCTTGTAGCCAATGACCTTCACCCACTGGGGGTTCTCATTCACCACTTCCCCTGTGGTGGTGGTCCACTCCTTGCCCAGTCCTCCTACATACAGGTGCTCATCCTTCACTGCCAGCCACTCTGCCTTGAAGCCTGTGGTGGAAAGAATGGCATGAGGTGGCTCAGTCAGCACGTAACCATCAGACTGTCCCACATGCCTCAAACCCCACACCCCTGAGCCCAGTGCCGGGCACAGTGTCCCCCACATAGCCAGCTGGTTGCTTGGCAGGAAATGCCCTCTCTTGGCCAGGCTCAGAGGTCACAGGAAAGGTGTGCCCCACCCCAGCAGGTGAAAAGAGCCAAGGGCTTCACAGGGCAGAATGGGAGCTCACCTTTGCCCACAGTGCCGTCCCCATCTGGGAGGATCACCCAAGGCACCACCTTATTGCCCTCGATCTGGTAGACCACACCTGTCCGGTCGTCCACTGCATACAGCTTCCCATTGAAAACCACAAGCTCTGAGAGCTCCATGCCCCGGCCCTTCTCAGCCAGGTGGGACTGCAGCATGCTCTCATCCTTGTCCCACTCCACCATCACTCTGTCCCCACTGTCTGACAGTACCAGGTAGCCCTTCTTCAGGTAACTGAACCAGGTGTGCTCCTGAGAGCCCCGGGACTGCGTGTCCAGGTCTGCAATGACGCCGATGCGGTAGCGCATGCCCTCGGGGTTTCTCTGCGGAGGGGACAGCGGGTAGGTGTCATTGTAGCGGTCCCCTGCCTGCAGGCCAAGCTGCCAGGTGCGAGGGCTGGGGGGGCCATGCCGTGCTGGGGAGGAACGGTGCAGGCAGAGGAGGAACAGCACAAGCCCCACGCAGGCTGAGGACAGCACGATGGCCTTCCAGCGCGGTCGGAAGCGCGGGTCAGCACCCTTGGTCATGGATGCGAGGACAGGCAGACCACCCACGCTGATCCGGAGGGGGCTCATAGACTCATGGCAGGGCGGGACTGGCATCAGACAGGGGGCGAGGAGAACCTGCTAGAAAGAGGGGAGAGAGAAGAGCTGATTTGGTGCTGACTGAGCTGGGGGAACAACAGAACACAGCCATGAGGAGCCCCATCCCCTCTTCTGCTGCAGAAGGTGCTCCCACCCCATGCAGGTACGAGCCACCATACACAGGGGCTGTTTGCTGCTGGAACTACCCTCAGCTCTTCTCACCTGGCTCCCTCTGCGCCCCCTGACCAGGAGCCCCAGCGTCTTGGCAGGATTGCATGACCTGCTCAGCACTTCTACATGTGCCATGGTCACTGCAGCTCAGGCAGCGAGCTGAGGCACCCGGCTCAAGGCAAGCCTCATGTCACTGTGTCCACGTCCCCACAGGCTCCTCGGAGGAAGTGGGTTCCCCTCAGGCAAGGATGACCCTTGCTGCCTCCAGAGTGGTTGAGCAGCCTGGCCCAGCTCCCATGGCCCTGAGAACCGACCCCACTGATGAGCCTTGAGCTTGTCCCCAAGCCACACAGGGACACTTGAGAGACACGTGGCAGCTCCGCCCAAGCAGGATGCCAACACCTGAGCAGGAAGTGCAGTGCCCAAGGGACACACATCCTGACCTGCCCAGCCTCACAGACACGGGACCCCCTCACCCTGCCCAGGCTCACAGCGTGTCCTCCACGTGTGAACATCGTGAGCCCACCCCGGGCTGTGCCCACCCGCGGGCCCGGGGTGCCAGCAGTGCCCTTCGGTGCCACCTCCCTCCCTGCAGCACAGAGGACGTGGCAGCGCCCCGGGCTCCCGCAGACGGGCACTCCGAGCTGCCCCGCCGGCAAGCAGCCATCACTGGACCCGTGCTCAGCCCGTGCCATGCTGCCCGGTGCAGAGACCCCCATCCCGGGGCAGAGATCCCCAGCTGCCATCCCAGGGCTTTCCACAAAGGGCCCATCCCGCAGGGTCTCAATCTGCCTTTCATCAGCCAGAGTGGCAAACAGAGGCGGCATTGAACGTGGGGGGCCGGCCCCGGACAGGGGAGCTGCGGCACAGCACGGAGCCCACGCTGGGGGCACGGGAGCGCTTCTCGTCCTGCGGCACCCCGGAGCGTGGGCCTCGGCAGAGCCCCGGGGACCCCTCTCGGTGCACTGACACCCCCCCCGCGTTTGTAGCCCGGTCTGAGCACGGCCACGGCGAACCCTCAAAATGCCGGGGCACGGTCACGGGGACCTCCGGGCAGGGACACGGGGACTCCTCGCCCCCTTGGGGACCCTTGCGCCCCCTCCCCGGCCGAGCTGACGGGCAGCTGGGGCACCGCCCGCACTGAGCGCGGCCCTGAGCTCCCCCGCGCCCCCGGGACCTCCGCGCGGGGCGTAGTCCCGAGGAGCCCACCACTGCCGCCCGGGCAGGCTGCTCGAGGTCCGCGGTGCCCCCGTCCGGTGCGGACCCCCGCCTGCCGGCCCCGCGCCCCGCGCCCCCCGCCCGTGTCCCCGCTCACCGCGCCACCGCCTCCCCCGCGCGCAGCCGCCGCCGCCACCGCCTACAGTTCCCGGCGGCCCCGCGCGCCGCCGCCGCGCCTGGCAGCGGCCAGACCGCCCCGTCTGGCGGAGAAACTACAACTCCCAGGAGACCCCGAGAGCCACCACCTCCCACCGCCCCGCCCGCTGCTCCGCGGGGCCTGCCGGGAGCTGTGGTCCGTGCCGAGCACGGCCCGCCGGAGCCGGGCGCACCGCACGGGCGGCTGGAGCCCAGCGGCGGGGGCAGTGCGGGGGCCGAGCCGGCTTTGCGGGGTGGGCACAGCCCGGCTGCCCGGCGGGCATCACCCCCGCGCTGCCCTGCTCCAGCTCGCAACATACTCTGTCCTTGTCCTGGTTGCCCCTTGTGTCCCGCCGCTAGTCGGGGTGGGGAGCGGGGTAGACCCAGCCCCGCGCCTTGGGACCCATGTACGTGTCCGGCTGCCAAAGGCTGGAGACCGGTGGGGCCGTGCTGGCCGCGGTGCCCTCGGGGCTGAGAACGGCCTCGGCGCCGCCGGCACAGGGCAGGGTCCTGCGCCGGGGCGAGCTGCACCCTCCGGCTGGCACGTGCCGCCTCCGCTCCCGGTGCGGCGGCCCCAGGTGGCTGAGGCGGCCGGTACCGGGAACACGCATGGTTAATGTTATGAACGGTTAAGGCAGCCGCGGGCGCACATCTGGCGGGGGAGGGCTGCGAGCCTCGTCCCGCGCCTCGCTGCCTCCTGCGCTTCCAAAAAGTGTATTTCCGCCCGGGCCAAGCGGGGAGAGGCGGCTCTGGAACGGGAGGCAGCGCTCGGCCGTGGGCAGGCTCTGCGCTGGGCCGGGCGATGCTCTAGGGCAGCAAAGGCAGCGCCGCGAGGGAGAAGCCGTGCCCCAGAGGTAGGTGGGGGGCAGCTGCGGGAGACCTGACGCTCGCCCCCGGAGCTGCAGGGGCCGTGCTCCCGTCTGCGGGCGGTGCCGAGGTACCGGGAGGCGGGTCCGCTTCGCCAAGCGCTCGGGTGTCCTTGCAAAAGCCCAGCCAGGCGGGTCGGTCCCTGAGCCCCCCCAGCCGAGCCAGGCCGCTGTCCTGCCTGCGAAGGAGCAGTGGGGACCACATGGCTGAGCCTTACAGTAGTCTGGGGCACAGCCCGACCCACCGCAGCTCTGGGAGGACACAGATCCCCCCCAGCCCTGCCCCAGCTGCGTTCCCAAAAAACTCATGGCTACGACCACATCAAGCCCACGCTGGGCTACCTTCGGTATCTCTTTGGGGGTCACAGTAGCTGTTGGGGTCCCCAGCACAACATCTTGCTGGTGCTACAGAAGTTGGAGGGCTGCAACTACCCCGGGCTCCTTCCCCACATCTGCCCCATGCAACCCACACCCTGCTGCCTGCTGGCTCTGCCCTGCTCCAGGGGAAAAAGGGCTCTGTAACCATTCCAACATCAGCAGCAGCACACAGGGGACCTGGCCCACCAGCTGGACCCCAGAGGCACAATGGTTCTGGCTGCTGTGGTGCAGGGAAGTTTGTGTCCACCACCCTAAACAAAGACGATTGCAGGTACTGCTGCCTCCACACTGCCCCAAGCCCCTCATCCCTCCCCTAGGATTTGTTCAGTTTCATCCTAGTCTTCATCTCCAGCTGGAAAGTATTTTGGGATGTTTTGACTTGCAGTCCCAAGGCTTCTGCAGCCACTATGTTTAAATCTTGCTCCTGGAGAGCAGCCAGCCCTGAGGGAAAATGCATATCCCTGGCAGGGCTTTGTACACCTGTGTGCAGGTGGGCACCTCCTGCCCAGCACGCCTGCAAGGTACAGTGGGGGCATGCTGGGGACCCAGCAAACCCCGTGTGCTGCTGACAGCAGCCTGCACGCACCGCACACTCGCCTCTGCTCCCAACAGCCTGGGAAGCGCTGCCTTCCACCATGGGAACTTCCTGGTGAAGGGTTTCTCCTTGTGGAGCAGCTCCCTGTGACACTGCGTTTTCCCCAGGGCCAAGCCTGCTCCAGGTCCCAGAGGAATGCCTGGCGTGACGGTCCCAGAGCTGAGGGAAAGCCACAGGCTTCCCAAACCCCGGCACGCCCGTGCCGTGCTCAGTGCTGTGCGTCCAGCGCAGCTGGAGGCCCGGCAGGCTGAGCAGAGCCAGGGCCAAGGCTGCCCACAAGGCCCTGGCTGGCCTCCTCCACGCCCTGTCCGTGGATCCACTTCTCCCCTGCCTCCTCCAACCTGGCAGCACCGAGGCAACGGGATGAGAGACAGAGACACCGGGAAGTGTATGCCGGGGCCAGGCCCTTGGCAGAGGGTTTGAGCAGCAGGAAAAGCCCTTTGGAGTCTTTTCCAATCCCTCCGCCCCTTCACAGCTCCAGTGACTCATAATCCAGGCATCCGGCCCCGGCCTCAGACGCCCTCCGCACCCGCTGCGGAGCGCACGCGGTCCCTCGGACCCCGCACCCCGGGACAGTGGGACAGCCACCGACTGGAGACCCCGGTGCTCTGAGAGCAGGCGCTCACCAAAACCACGGGGTTCTGCCCCAGAATCCGCCATGGCCCGGCTCAGCCGCAAAACACAGGACAGGGTTGAGAGGGCGCTTTGCCCTTGGGACCGGCGCTCCGGGGTCGCGGCGGAGCCCGTGGAGTACAGCCGGGCGGGACGAGGGCCGAGGTCACACCCACGGCCCAAGCCAGGGAGGCACCTGGCTGCGATAGCAGCGGGGACAGCGGCCGTCCCCGTCCCGGCTCGGAGCCTGCTGCCGCGGGATGCCCAGCGCTGGGCAGTGCTACACCCCTGTTTGGCCAAGGCTGTCCCGGTGCCACCGGGCCAAAGGGCGAGGTGCTGCGTGCCCGGCCCCACGTCTCCAGCAGATACGGTCCTGATAATAGAGGGAGGGGTCGTGAAGTCCCCGGGCTGGGCCACAGTGCCACCACCACTGCAAATATTAGTTTTGGCCCCATACAGGGTGTGGGCTTTTGGGAAGGTTTCAGCCAGCTCCCAGATAGGGCTGCCAGCCCACGTCCCTCTTTCTGGAACAGTGGGTGTTGCCCCCTTGCAAACCCTTGGGCTGGCAGCCCCCAGGGCACAGGAGCCCCTCACAGGAGTGGGGTGCAGCTGCCCTCTCTGGGCCCGGCTGGGGTCCCACACACAGGTCGGGCTGCACCCTGACATTTGCCCCATGGCATCTGGAGCTCTCTGTAACTTTTTAGGTGCTGACATCCTAAATTGCTGTTCTTGGGTGTCTATGGGAGGCAGCTGAAACCAGGCTGAGCAGGAGCAGCAGCACTTGGTCCAGGACTTGGCCCGCTCAGAGTCTGCTGCTCTGCTCCACTCTCAGCTCCTGAGGTAATCCCATCTGCCGTATGTGCCAGGGCTCAGGGGCTGCACATGTTGGTGAGGCCAGAGCCCCCTAACTGCCTCAATGTGGGTCTCCACCGGTGCTCACTGGGGTGACACTGTTCCATAGCCCAGCCAGACCCCAGGGGTTGTGCAGTGCACAGGTCCTGTCCCAGGACAGCTTGGGGCATGGCTGGGCTGGGAGTCTCCTCATTCCTGTCCCACTCAGCTGTCCCTGGCACCTCACAGGGCACTGCCAAGGCATGGAGGGGCTGTGGGTGCAAGGTGTCCTGCTGATCTTCCTGCTGATCTTCCTGCTGCCCTGCCCTGTGGGGAGCCAGACCAGCTCCATCCCTGCCCAGCGATGGTGGACAGACCCCAATGAGGCCCCATCCCAGCACCAAGCTGCCAGGTGAGGGGACCCCAGAGCCAGGGTGCTCTGCAGCCGGGGCCAGGGCAGCCCTGGCACTGGAGAGGGGTCCCAACCCCCATAGCTGCCTGTTGCACTTTGCTTTCTGCCTTGCCAGGGCCACACAGGAGCAGAAGGTTGATGATGCCCAGGAGGGGCTGCCCCCACAGCCCCGCTGTGTCCGCTGCTGCCCCCCACCCGAAAAGCGCTTCTACCCCCACTACCAGCCTGTGCCTCAGATCAACATGACCATCCTGAAAGGTGAGGGCTGGCAGGACCCCAGGCTGTGTTGCCAGCATTGCCCCAGGTCCAGTGCTGAGCTGGGCTCACAGTGCCAGCTCCTGCACAGACTGGGAATGAGAAACTGGGGTGGTGCCAGTGGTTCTGTGTCCTGCACAGACAGGGCAGGAGCCACACTTTGGTGTGAGCAGCCCCTGTTGTGGTGGCTTCTAGGCAGCAGCATCAGAGCCTCGGGAGGGGCAGGGGCAGGACTGGTAGGTCCCTGCTCCTTCCATCCCCCTCTGGGGAAGGGGCTTTTGGGGTGCCGGGTTCAGCTGTGGCCCCTGCCTGACAGCCCAACTCTCCCTCCTGCTCCACCCAGGAGAGAAGGGGGACCGCGGTGAGCGTGGCATGCAGGGCAAGTTCGGCAAGACGGGGGTGGCTGGCAGCAGGGGCCACGCAGGGCCCAAGGGACAGAAGGGCAGCATGGGCGCCCCTGGGGAGCGCTGCAAGAGCCACTACGCTGCCTTCTCCGTGGGCCGCAAGAAACCCCTGCACAGTAACGACTACTACCAGACCCTCATCTTTGACACGGAGTTTGTCAACCTCTACGAGCACTTCAACATGTTCACGGGCAAGTTTTACTGCTACATCCCTGGAATCTACTACTTCAGCCTCAACGTGCACACCTGGAACCAGAAGGAGACATACCTGCATGTCATGCACAATGGGGCAGAGGTGGTGATCCTCTACACCCAGGTGAGCGACCGCAGCATCATGCAGAGCCAGAGCGTCATGCTGGAGCTGAAGGAGCAAGATGAGGTCTGGGTACGGCTCTACAAGGGTGAGCGTGAGAACGCCATCTTCAGCGATGAGTACGACACCTACATCACCTTCAGTGGCCACCTCATCAAGTACAGTGGGGACCCCTGAGCACCGGGCCCTCCCACTCCTGTGCCAGGCCAGGTGGCTGAGGAGCCCCTGTCCCTCTCATCCCAGGAGTGCCACCCCCATTATGCTGTTAGTCACCCTAGTGCCACTACCCCAGCAGCTGCACCAGTGTGTGAATTCCCTCACTCCAGCACCTCAAGGCTAACCACACACACCTGGAAGACGGAGCAATTGTAAGCCCCTGCCACGTTGGTGACCAGGAAGCAGCTGCTCACCTGGGGTGGGCAGGGAGCTCACCCCTTCTCTCTGCTCCAGACCTGGGTTTGCCAGGCTCAGCCTGTCACAGCTCTGGCTGAGCTGGCACAGCAGGACAGTGTGGCCGCTGGTGCCCTGGTGCGAGGCAGCGCAGACACCTGCACTGTGCCATTTTCACCTCCTGGCTCCTGGCTGTGCTCCCTGGCTGGAATGGGCAGAAGGTGCTCAGCACCATCCAGAAAGGCAATAAACCACTAAGGGCCTCCTTCCTTCCCTGGTGCAGGTGTTGCAGTGGGGGGCTGGGTCCCCCTGTGGGGAGTGAGTTTCATCAGTTCCCTCTGCAGATTCTGTTGCTGCTCACTGCAGCCTCTGCTCAGGAAGGGCTCTCTCCCCACCAGCAGCCCTGGGTGTGGGGCCTCTGGCCTCAACCACTTCCTCTTCCCTTAGGTTATCTGCTGGCCAGGCCTCCTGTTTGTGTAGATGCAGCAGCAGCATGGGCCAGCATGCTGACCCCCTCATTCAGCTCACACCACATTAAACACCTCACATTTCCAGCCTTGCTCACACCCTCAGTGTCCTCGTTTTGTGTGTGGAGAGGCTCCAAGTGATTCAGGGCAAGGTTCTGCTCCTGGGGTGCAGGGGCTCCCCAAGAGCTGAGGGCTGGCATGGTGCTGCTGGGCTGGGGGTGGAAAGGGAAGAGCAAACTGTCCCTGGAGAGCTGGGAGACGTGTGCCAGGCACTGCATGGGCCAGCTGTGCCCCAAGGAGCTGCGTGCGTGACAGAACTGTCAGGCTGGGAACAGAACAGGCTGGGAAGGGTGGCAGGGTTGTCACAAGTGCAGGTTATCCAGCACATCCATGGAGAGGAGGTAGGTCTCAGGTGAAGCTGGGTGTCAGGGTCTGGACTGGCAGCTCCGTGGCTAAGCTGAGCAATGCTGCAGCTGGAAACCAGCACCTCAAGCACAGAAGGGAGGGGACTGGGTTGGGGTACTTGGGATGACCTTAAATAGAGCCCTGGCCCCACATGTGGGGAGTGGGCGGATGGTGGGGGCCAAGTGAGGCAAATTAGGCCGTTCACTGCTATGCCTGTGGGGTGGGGGCATCAGCTCAGGGCCTCAGCCCTGTACCATGGCATGGGCAAAGCTCCTTGGCCACACTGGCCCCTGGGAACCAGGTACCATCTCCATCCCAGACTGCGCAGCAGTTACGGACACAGGCGGCACCCCAGCACAGAGATTCCCGTCCTGGCACAGCGTTCTACCCCAGGACACGCAATCAATTCAGAGGCACGCGGCTTGCTCCGAGGATGCAGCCCGGCCCGGGGCACGCGGTCCGTCCCAGGACGCCCCGCCCCAGGACACGGCGGCGGGCGGTGCCGGGGCCGGGCGGGCGGAGCTCCGGGGCCGCGCCCCCGGGAGAGCCGGGCCCGGCGGCGGCGGCGCCGCCGTCAGTGCGGCAGCGGCGGCGGCGGCGGCGGCAGCGCCATGGCGGAGGCGGCGGAGGGGCCGGCGCGCCGCGGGAAGAGGACGGGAGCGGAGCCCGGGGCCGCGGCGGAGGAGCCGGCGGAGGCGGAGCGGGCCGCGCGGCGGCGGCGGAGGTGGATGGCGGGGGCCGGGCCGAGGCCGCGATCGTGTCCGGGACCGGGACGGGGACGGTGATGGGCATGGGGTCCGGGACCGGGACCGTGATGGGGAGGTCGGCGCTGGCCGCGGTGCTGGCGGAGCCCGGCCCTCATCCACCTCCCGGGGCAGCTTGCAGCCGGCGGCGGACATCCAGGGAACCACGGTCCTGCACGACACCATCAGCGACCGCCCGCAACCCCTGCCAGGTGAGGCACCGGGAGAGGGGCCGGCCCACGCCTAAACCCCGCCGGACGGGGACGGTGTCGGTGCCGACCGAGCTGCACAGGCAGTGCTCACTGCTGACCCTGCCCCGCCTCCCCATCCTTCCCAGCAAGGTACTTTGACACGAAGACCACGGAGCCCATCAGCTTCTTCTTGACCGGCCTGGAAGAGCTGCTGGCCTGGCAGCCCAACAGCAACGATGACTTCAATGTGTCAGCTGTGCCTCTGGCCAAGCGCCAGCCCCCGCTCCACAGCAGCAGGCCCCGGACACTGGTGTGCCACGACATGCGTGGCGGGTACTTGGAGGACAGGTACGTGCTAGGTGGAAAGTGGAAGGGACTTTCAACATCTCAAACCCCAAGGCAGTTCTGTTTCTGCCTGACATGTCTTCTGCCAGCTCAGCCACAGGTGAGCAGAGATGGGGTGTTTGGCACAGTGCTTGGGGAACCTTGCTCAGGCTGGGATGTTCAGAGGTGGCTCAGCGCCGCAGCTCTGCCCAGCTCCTGCCTGTGAGTCAGGCTTCTACCCAGCTCCACAGCATCTGTCAGCGTCCTTCCTGCACTGCCCAACCCTTTTCCCTCTGCAGGTTCATCCAGGGCTCGGCTACACGCAACCCCTATGTCTTCTACCACTGGCGCTACATCGACATCTTTGTCTACTTCAGTCACCACACTGTCACCATCCCGCCCGTGGTCTGGACCAATGCAGCGCACCGGAACAGCGTCCCTGTGCTGGGTAGGGACAGGGCCGAGCCTGAGGCAGCCCCAGCAGTGAGCTGGATTCACCAGGATGTGCGGCTGATGCTGCCCTGGCTGCCTCTGCAGGCACATTCATCACGGAGTGGACAGACGGGGAGAAGCTGTGCGAGGCGTTCCTGGCCGGCGGGGAGGAGGCGTACGGCGCCGTGGCCGAGCAGCTGGCCCGCATTGCCCAGCACTACCGCTTCGACGGCTGGCTGATCAACATAGAGAACACACTGAGCGTGAGTCCTGCTGCTTCTGCTCACTGCCCTGCCTTCGTGCTGTTCCTGTGGGGAGCCTCTGCCCTGTACCCTCACCCACCTGTGTCTCTCTCCTGGCAGGCAGCGGCGGTGGGGAACCTGCCCCTCTTCCTGCAGGACCTGACGGCGCGGGTGCACAGTGCCGTGCCGGGTGGGCTGGTGATCTGGTATGACAGTGTCCTGAAGGATGGCACACTGAGGTGGCAGAATGAGCTGAACAATGCGAACAGGTGAGGCTGGCAAAACTGTCCCCGGGTAGGGGGCATGAGCTGCCCACCCCAAACCCAGCATGGCGGCGATCAGGCACAACCTGCACGGCCTAGGTGAGGCCGTGTGTGACCAGAGCATCTGCCACTCTGACCCTTGTCTCCAGGATGTTCTTTGATGCCTGTGACGGGCTGTTCACCAACTACAACTGGAAGGAGGAGCAGCTGGAGCGTACACAGAGGCTGGCTGGTCCACGCCTAAATGACGTTTATGTCGGCGTTGATGTCTTTGGCCGTGGGGATGTGGTTGGTGCTGGCTTCGACACTTACAAGGTGGGTGTGACAGGGCTGGGCCAGAGTGCGACTCTGGACCTCCCTGGCACAGGGCTCTGAGCTCCCACTTAGAGCCCTGCTGGGCTGTGCTGTGTTGGCCTGCTAAACTGAGGATGAACTGGTGAGGAGTGAGGGATCCCAGAATGCTGGCCATGCATGAAAAGATCCCACTGCTGCCACCCATCCCTGGAGAGGGAGATGCTGCAGCAAATCCCTGTGGTGCAGCAAATCCCATGGGGCCAGTGGAACATGGGGGGAGTGGAGACAGGACAGGGGACAAGGTGACCGCCTGGCCTGGCCCATGCTGCTAACTGCTCGTTTCTGCAGTCCCTGCGCCTGATCCGCCAGTATGGCCTCTCTGCAGCCATCTTTGCTCCTGGCTGGGTCTATGAGCACCTGGGGAAGGAGAACTTCCTGCAGAACGAGAACAGGTGAGGCAGCTCAGCAGGGCGGGTACTGGGGGAGGAACGGGGCTAGGAGTGCCCTGGCTCAGGAAGGCTTTGGGCTGGTGGGACACAGCTACAGGGATGCTGTGGCTGTCAGAACACCATGGCTGCTGATCAGGAGCAGCTGGCCCCTTTCTGCCCCAGCTGAGGTGATACTCAAGGCTGTGCAGGGCAGTGACCATAATAGGAGTCTCTGTCCTGACACCCACCTTTGCCTCCAGGTTCTGGGGCTTGCTGGCAGAGTACCTGCCCACCCACAGCATTTGCACACTGCCCCTCACCACCTCCTTCAGCCTGGGCATGGGCACCAGCACATTTATGGATGGGAAGGTGGGTGCAGGGTGACAGCTCTGCTCTGGTCAGATTGGACTGGGCTGGGCAGGGAGGTCCCTGCTTTTGGCTCCCCCAGCTCAGCTCTTCCTGTGCTGTAGGATGAAGAGTCTGGACCCTGGTACGACCTGAGCGCACAGGACATCCAGCCACTGTACCCGGAACACCAGGGCATGCTGAGCACCAGCTGCTGCCTGCAGGATGCTTGGTGTGGGGGCAGCTCCCTGCAGCTGCAGGGGACCATTCCCTCTGGCGAGGAACGCGTGGCTGTCCGGTGAGTTGGGACGAAGCCCTTTATCCCTCCTCAGCGCCAGGCTGGCACCATGTCAGCCTGACATGGCATGCATGGCCTGAGCTCTGTGGACCCAGGCCTGGTGGCAAGTGTGCCCAGGCTCTGCCCGCACTGCCCAGCACACCTAACACGATGCACCTTCTCTTTGTCTCTCTCTCTGTCTCTGTCTCTCTCTCTGGGTGGATTTGGGGTCATCAGCCTCTTCTCTTTGCAGATGCCGGCCCCCCCCAAGATCTTCCTGACCATGCTCTACAAGCTGGAGGGGCCACAGCCTGATGACTTCACAGTGGCACTGGAGGTCACCACCTGGGACTCAGAGATGTGCTTTGAGGGCAATCCTACCTCCCTGCCTGGTGAGGACCCTGCCCCCTCATGCTCTCTGCAGTGAGCACCTGCTGCAGTCCCTCACCCGCTGCCCTCTCTGGCAGAGCCCAACGGCCGGTACCACCCCCGGTTCCTCCCGGCACCGCCGCCCAGCCTCGCCAAGCTGCTCGCCGCCTGCCACCGTGGCTCCCACGGCTGGACCAGCCGGTGAGTGCCCTGCCTGCATCCTGTGTCCACAGGCAGGCATGGGATGCCAGGACTCCCTGGGACCACTCCTGCTCTGCCTATTCCCTCTCAGGTGCTATGAGCTGGAGCTGCAGGACTGCAGCCTGCGAGACCTCTCCCTGATTGTGTCCCGCCAGCAGCCCAGCCTGCAGGAGACATCCTTCACCTGCCTCCTCGGGGAGGTCCGGGTGAGTGCCTGCTATGGCTTGGTGGAGACACCTGCCCTGTGCCCCCCTTGTTCCGGGAAGGTGGGGGCTGCCTGCCCTGACCCTGACAGTGCTGTGGTTCCCTCGCAGGTGCTGGACACGGCCAGTGTGGCGGCCTCCCCACCGCAGGTGCACAGCGTGATGGCCTCTCAGCTCTGGTGGCAGGAGGGCCCCGAGCCCGAGCAGCTCTCGCTCAGCCTCACCCTGCGCTGGTCCTTCCCGCCTGGCCGTGCCAGATGGTTCCGTGTCCTGAGCCAGGGCGCCCGGTGCCGCCTGGGCCAGACAGCGCCGCAGGTGCTGGGGCTGGCGCAGGGCTGCCTGTTCCGGGCTGTGGGGCTGTCGGTGCCACAGCCGGCGCCCGGACAGTCCTGCCGGCTGGAGCTGCTGGTGGAGCCGGTTCTGCGGGATGAGCTGCCTGTGGACCCCGAGCGCTGGGGCCGCCTCGTGCTGGTCTATTCCGCACCAGGCAGTGGCACCAGTTCAGATGGGCATTAAAGCAACTGTGGTGCAGCCCGTGCCGTGTCTCCTCCATGTGGCGGGTGGGCTGTGCGTGGGGGACACAGAGGGAGGCTGCATTTCATCACCCTGGGTTGGTGAGTCCTTTTCCTCCCACCCCTGTGGTTGTGCTCAGCCCTCACTGTAGGGGCCTGCTGGGTGCTGACCAGCCACTGGCAGGGGCCCCCAACACGTATAGCCCCAGACTGGGGCGCCTGCCCTGAGAACCCCACCAGCTCCTGCAGCGTTTACTGCCTCAAGCTGTCTGCCCACAGCCTGGACATACTGGCCCTAAGACCCCAAGGCACACAGCCCCCTCAGGGCTCAGCCTGGTGGGGAGATGCCAGCACGGGTTCTGCAGCAGCCCCAAGGAGCAGCCCAGCCTGGGTGACCGCTGTGCTCATTAACGTGGACCCAGCCCAGTGCCACCAGCCTATGCTGCCTCCCCTGAGCATCTTGTGAGGAGGAGAGAAAATTTATAGCAGCAATTATTTTCTCACAGTCTGGTGAGCAAGCAATTAGCAGGCAGGAACAGTCGAGCACTCCTGCAGTGGGGTCCCAAGCCCTGTCCCTAGACAATGCAGGCTCTGCCAGGGACACCAATGCCAGCAGTGGGTCTGCTGCTCTTGAGGTGGGGAACGCACTCAGGAATGTATTACCTGATGGCTTGAAGAATGAAGGGCTAGGCCCAGCCAGGAGAGGGCTCTTCATGCAGCACCCTGCTCCCTCACCATGGTGAGGCTGGGAACCCCAAGGGTTCCCCACCTGCCCAAAGGCTGTGGCCCCCTGCCCAGCCAGATCCACTGTACCAGCAATGGCCCCACGCAACCAGTCAAAACCTGAGTCGCCCTGGTTGAAGAAAGAAATCTTTATTAATAATTTCAATAATAATAATCCTTGTAATAATAATAATAATAATAATAATAATAATAATAATAATACTGTTTATTAGAATGGTCACACTTTTAAGCATACAGGATGGGCCAGTGCCAGCCCACACGCTGGGGCGGCGCAGGGGTGCTGTAAGGGAGAAGCCAGTACAGCGATGGACGGAGCTTTGTACAGGGGAGCAGGGCTGGGGCTATGTACACTGGGAATAGAAAAGGGGGAGCTCATCGCTGGGGCGTCGGGGGCATCTGCAGACTAGAAAGTGAGGTTTGAGGAGTGGCAGAGCCAGAAGGGCACGGGACGGCGCTGCACCCTGGGATGGGCTCCACAGTGCCCTGTGCCACTGGGCACCACACCCAGCGTGCCTACAGCTGCAGCCTAGCCTCGTAGCTTGGGTGGATCCCTTGTGGGTGATGCAGTGGCCGAGACCCCACACCCAGGGTTGGGGGCATCCCGCTGCCTCAGGCAGGTGGCCATGAGCGTGTCCCGTGCCACAGAGCGAGCGGGAGTGGGACTGGGGCAGCGCCTGGCCCAGCTTTGGTCAGGGCTGGTCCAGGCAGGGTGGGAGCACAGGTGTCAGGGAAGGAGGGAGGAAGAAGGGGAAGGGGTCACAAGCGAGTTGCAAGCTCCTCTTAACAAAAATTCCCTTTAAAAGGCAGAGGGTGATCCCCTGCAATACCTCAGCACCGCATCCGTGCCGCCGCCCCAGTTCCGCGCTGGAGCTGAGGCCTCACACGCTTGACACGCTGATGGCCACCAGCGCCGGGGCTCGGGTGGCACCAAGCCAGGTCCCCACCCCGTCACCCGGTCCCACGAGCCGGGCAGGGCGCAGCGCTCTGCCGGCACCCCCAGCGCTGCTGCACCAGGGAAAGGAAGACGTGGCGCCCAGGCCCTGCACCTGGGCGGGGGAGGACCCCACGGACTCCCGCGGACCCTCACGCCTGCCTGCACCGGCTCCCTCCCTGCTGGGCTGCGGGGCCGGGGCGCTGGGGGTCCCTCCGGCGCATCCGACCGCCGGTGCTTGCCGCGGCTCCTCTGGGACTCGCTCACTCCGTGTGTGTGGACAGCTGGGACTCACTTGGCTGCTGCCATTTGGCTCGGTTTCTCTTTTTTTTGTTTGTTTTTTCTTTTTTTCTTTTTTTCTTTTTTTCTTTTTTTTTTTTTTTTTTTTTTTTTTTTTTTTTTTTTTTTTTTTTTTTTTTTTTTTTTTTTTTTTTTGTTTTGTGTGTGTGTGGATATTTTTGCCCTTCCTGGTCCCAGAAGGAAACAGCCACGGGTTCACTACAACAGAAACAAGAGAGGCAGGTCTTTCGCTGGAGCGTTCAGGCCAAGCTGCTGGCTGGGGGCACGCAGGCCCCGTCCCAGCCCAGCCCATCACACCCAGCTCAGCAGAGCAGGGCTCCTGCCCAGCCCAGCCCAGCCCATCGCACCCGGCTCCGCAGAGCAGCCCTCCTGCCCGGCAGACTGCCCCGGGATCCTGAACCCACCCCAGCTTCGTCAGGCCCCACAGCTGGCAGCAACCCCAGCTGGCATCTCTCTCTCCTATGGGGGCAGAGGGGCTGCTTGGGGGGCTGCTGTCATCCTGAGCCCCAGTGCCTGTGGAGTGAGCATCCCTGCAGGCTGAGCACCCCTGCCTGCCTGGCAGCGGGATGAGCACTGTGCACCCCAGCCAGGGCGGCGGGGGGACCCCACAGCCTGGCTCTGGGAACAGGGCGCTGCTGGGGCTCAGGGCTGGCCCCGCTGCCCACGGTCCCCGGGGTGGGCGGATGGTGCAGGAGAGGCGGGCAGGCGGCAGGACGGAGCAGCTGAGGTAACCCTATGGGTGTGGGGTGCTGTGGCCCCACAGAGCCCGGCCACCTGGGCAGCACCCACGGCTCCTCCACAGGCTCGGCCTCGGCTCTGTCTGCCTGGTTTGGTTTGGTGCTAGAGAGCATCGGGGGCAGTGGTGGGGGGGCTGGGTCTGTCTTGCTAGTAGGGAGTGAAGCGGCTGTACCCTCCTCGGTATAGACTAGCCTGCAACATCAAAGATGAAAAAAAAGCCAATCAGTATTCAGAGATAGCCAAAGTCTAGATCTTCCCTTTTTTCTCTTCTTTTTTGTTTTTTTCTCCTCTTTCAAATGACACCAAATTGCTGTTGTACTTGGGATGTGAGGGGCAGGCAGGGCCAGGGTGCCCAGTGGTGTCCATGGGCACTGCCCTGGCGGCAGGGGCTGCCATATGCCTCCAGTGTGGCACTGCTGTGCCATGCCTGCCAAGGAGCTGCCCCCATCCCTGCTGTGGCACTGAGCTGAAAACCCCTAGGGATGTAGTGCCTGTGGCCCCCTCACTAGCAGCTGCCCAGGGAGTCAAAAAAGGCAGAAAAAGGCAAGGCGGCTTTGCGATCCCAGCCGTGAGAACAGTTTTTCATCTTTGATGCTGTCAGAGCTGGCCAAGAGCTGTGGCACGTGAGGGGCTGCAGTGCCCCGTGTGTGGCTGGGGACACTGTCCTGCACTGCGATGAGAGAGGGGTCCTGGAGCCTGACCAGGCAGCCGGTGGGGGACAACCAGGCCCGTGGGAAGTGGCGTGTGTGGCAGGACTGTGCGGGGCGTGAGGGGAAGGCAGGCTAGGGTGCGGGGTGGGGGGTTTCCTCTCCTGCAGACAGAGCCAGGCAGGGGCTGTGCCATTCCCACTCCCCTCCCACAGCCCCGCACCTGCCCTGTGTCCCACAGGCCCCACGGCCGCTGTGCCAGACCCCTCCCTGGGTTGTCTGCAGCCCCCCGGGAAGCAGAGGAAGGCCGAGGGCTGCTCTTACCATGGTGCCAATGCTGTACGTGGCGGCGGGGCCGATGGTGTGGTGGTAGGGGTCTGCTGCTGCGTACACTCTGCCATAGCTAGGAGCAAACAGCGGCAGGTGTTAGTGACAACACTTGGGTCCTGTCTGCCCTCAGAGCCCTCCCTCCCTCCCAGCTGCACCCGGGAGTCCCCTGGGCTATCCCTGTTCCCCCTGCAGTGGTGCCAACCCTTTCCAGCCTAGCCCCGAGGGGAGCAAGGGGTCCCTGTTTGCAGGACACCCTCCCCATGCCTGACTCTGTCCTGTCCCACAGCACTCAAAAGCTGGGGGTGTCAGAGTGGGCCGTGCAGGGGTGACATGGGGCTCCCTCAGCGCGATGCCCGGTGCTTACCTGTCGCTGTACGCGGCCGCTGCTGCTGCGGGCTGGGCGTACCTGTAGGCAGCATAGCCCCCCTGCAGGGAGGAGAGACTGGTCAAGGGGCTGCACCCACTGGGGGCGTGGGGCTGGGGCAGCTGAGTGCCCCATCACACTGCACGGAAAAGTGTGGGGCCCACAGGGGGCTGGTACCAGTGCCACTGGGCACGGATCAGCCTCATTACCATTCCCCAGGGGCTTTCACAAACATTAACCTTAAAAAATTAAATTTCCAGAGAAGAGACTGTCACCTCCCTGCTCACTTTAATGAGGTGTCACGTTAGATAAATCCTTCAGTGCCCTCCTGAGATATCGCCGCTGGCTCCTCAGACATGGAGGTTAAACACGGGTGTAAGGAACCGAGGCTGTAAATCCTGTGTGGTACCAGCTCTGCCGGGGGGCTGGCAGGGGCACAGGACTGGGCACAGGGTCTTGTGTGGTGGGTGCCAACCAGACTGCTCTGGAGAAGCTGTGCTGTGTTCCTGCTCTTGCTGCTGCCCAGGGGAAGGGGTTGAGGGGGGGCAGAGCCCACCAGCGACCCGGGTGACACCGGTTGCCCCCTGTCCTGTTACAGGGTCCCAGTCACAGCCCAGCCCTGGGCACAGTGCCACTTACGTAGATCTCAGCTCCGTAGAACCCATCCTGGTAGACGACCCTGGAAATGAGGCAGAGGCATCAGAGCCCAGCAAGTGCCCCTGGACGAGGGGAGCAGGGTGAGTGCAGGGGATGAGGAGGCTGCCTCAACCCCATGGCTCATGGCAAGGAGTGGCTGTCCAGGCCCCAAAGGCAGGTCTGGGCTGGGATTCTGGTAGGGACTTGGGCACACGCAGAGGGCACAGCCAAGGGCAGGACATGCCAGAGGAGGATCCCAGGGCAGGATTTCTGCTGGGAGCAGCCAAGCAGCCACAGATGGCCATGGCTGTATCTGTGACCAACACCATCCCAGCCACATGTGCTGGGAGAGAGTTTCCATTCAACCAACCATCCTGGCTGGAATAACATCTTGTGCCTTGGTGGGCAGGAGGCTGGTGAGTGTGTGGGTCACCTGAGGGCAGCAGAGTGGGGCTGGGACAGAGCCTGTGGGCAGGCAGGTGCTGCAGGAGCTGCAGCCCGTTCCTGACGATGCCAGGGCAGACCCGGAGCAGTGTGGCAGCCCACGCCCCCCGCCCGGCAGCCCCCCGGTACTCACGCGCCGTAGGTGGGGATGGGCGGCGGCGGCGGCGCGGCCCGGAAGGTGTTGTAGACGGCGCGGCCTCGGCCCCGTAGGTGTGCCCCTCGGTAGGCCACGGCCGTTCCCGTGGCGGGGTACGGGAACCCCGTTACTGCAAGAGGCAGGGGATACCTGTGGGCTTTCCACAGCAGGTCTACACAGCCCCCGGGGGGCATCTGAGGCACAGCCCACCCCTGCACCCTCAGACTGGCAGGGACATGGCCCCTTGGGGATGCTGGGGACGGGACGGGACGGGACGGGACAGGACAGAGGACAGGACAGGACAGGACAGGACAGGACAGGATAGGATAGGATAGGATAGGATAGGATAGGATAGGATAGGATAGGATAGGAGGAACTGTCCAGGAGGTGTGAAGGCAGAAGTGCCTAGGGCTGCTCACTGCACAGAGCAGCAGCAGACACAGGGCAGAGCTGACATTTGGGGGAAACCCACAGCAGTACTGCTGCAGCCCAACGTTACCTGCGTAGAACTCAGGGCCGTAGACTGCTCCCACCACTGGGTTCAGCTTCCACCCTGTGGGCAGAGAGAGCCAGTGAAGACAGGGCACTTTCCATGGTGCTCTGAGGGGCAACAGCCTCATCCCAAGCAGGAGGAGGTCATGGGGGCTGCACTCCTGCATTGGGCAGGAGCAGTTGCTCTCCCGTTTGCCTGCAGGTGTGGAGGGCATTCACTGCCAGAGCTCCACAGCAGCCAGACAGTGCTGGTGCCTGGTGGTGCCCCTGCCTGCTGCAGCCCCTGCTCTCTGGATGCTGGCCCTTACCATTGGTGTAGGGGTTGGCCACCTTCTTGTTGGTCATGACACGGGCTGTGGCGTTGTTCACCTGGAGAGAGAGGGACGGGGGCTCAGTGCCTGAAGGATGTGGAGCTGGCGAGGCTGTGGTCCAGGGCCCGCTCGGCTGCGCCCAGCGCCTGCTGCTGCTGCTTCGGATGCCGGAGCAAAGGATGCCGGCTGCACCAGAGACACGAGACAAGGCTGTGCCTGCAGCACCCCGTTGTACACAGCCCTGCCCGTGCCTCCAGCCAGCCCAGGCCTCCATGCTCCAGCTGTGAGCATGGCTCAGGCTGCTGCCTGGTGCCCCGAGAGCTGTGGTGCCATGCTCAGGCCGAGCCCCGACATGCTGCCTGTGAGCTCCTGCCCGATTTTGTTGGATGATGTTTTCCTTGTCCATGGGGCACTGCCATGCCCTGCCAGGCTCCCTCTCTGCCGTCAGCACTGCTGGGGAGATTTTGTCCCACTCCCTCTGCCACCCTGCTTCCCACCACTCGCCAGCCACCACCAGGGAGCTGCTGGCAAATGGGCAGAGCCAGATCCCTGTGCTAAGCTTGGAGAAATCAAGCCTCTGGGCCTGGGCAGCTGCTGGCACTGCAGGTGTGGAGCTGCGGGTGGATCCTCCCTCCCAGCACAGAGCAGGGGCGCTGGCATGTGGGGCAGAGCCCCAAAGCTCCCTGCAGAACTTGGGGTGGCTGCTGTGGGCACGGGGGCCTGCCAGACTTGTCTGCACCAGGCAGAATGCAGCCCCAGCTGACGCCCCAGCTCTCCGTGCACCCGGGAGGTTCCTCTGGGCCAGACACTCCTTGTGCCAAGCGACGACCTTCCCACAGCCGACACACATGCTCCCGTGCCACATTCAGGGACACATGCACGCGCCGGGCACAGCTCCCCAGGGTACCTGGGACCCGGAGCTGCCCCCAAGCGTCCCATAACCCAGGCGGGGGACACACACACGCAGGCATGGCACGGCACTAGCACACTTATCTGAGCACCTCAATCTTCCGGCCCTCTACGATGGTGCCATTCAGCTTCTCCCGTGCCCGGTCGGCATCTGTGCTAGTTTCAAAAGTTACAAACCCAAAACCCTGTGAGCAGAGGAGAAAAGGAGAAAGAAAGAGACAGAGAGAGACAGAGAGAGGGTGTGGGGACAGAGAGAGAGAGGGGGTGAATCAGGAGAGCTGGCGCAGGAGGTGAGGCTGCCACAGTGCAGAGATGAAGAGCCCAGACTGGGGTCCCCACAGGGGCCGGGAGTACCGGCTGAGGCCCCAAAATCGCCCACGAGCTGGGAGAAGAGTTTGGGAGAGGGGCACAGAAAGTGGGGAAGATACAACAGAGACATCCAGACACAGAGGGACACGAGCTGCCTGTGGTGGGACACAGCAAGCCCTCCTCCCTCCAGTGCCAGATGCAGGGACCTGCACGACCTCCCGAGTTGGAACCAGGGCTGCTCCGACGGGGCACTGCATGCCAGGGTCCCATGGGACAGGAGAGGAGGGGAGAGCAGGTTACAGCACTGCTGGGCAACCTGGCTCCACTGACACCCTCCCCAGGACTCGCTGTATGGTGCTGGCCATGGGCATCACCCACCTTGGAGCCCCGCTCATTGAAAATGATCTCCACGTCCAGAATTTTCCCGAATTGCTGCAAGTGGAGAGAACAGAGGGGTCAGTGCCTGCAAAGCCCCTGGCCCTGCACCCAGAGCTGCTGGCATGGGGTTCTGTGCCAGGGGTGGGCAGAGGGCTGCCTTGGGGGCCAGACCTGGGGACTCCCAGGGTCATGCAAGGGAAAGCCCTTGTCCCTCCCATGGCTGACAGGACTTGGGAGTGTCATCCAAAATTTCATTAACTAACACTACTCTGAGTCCTAATAAGGGCTGGAAAACAAACAGTGGAGGGGGACGAGGGCTCTGTGTAACTCCCTGCTCCGTGCACAGGGGCTGGGCAGAATGTCCCTTGGGAGGTGACAGTGCTGAGGTCCCGATGGTGCCACAGGGCAGCACTGAGCAGGGAGCAGGGATGTGATGGGTGGATGGCGCTGTACTCACCCCAAACATTTGCCGCAGGTCGGGGTCCCGGAATCGAAAGGGAATGTTGGAGACGTGTAACCTCTTGGGCTGTTGCTTGTCTGTGTTGTCTGAGGAGTGTAGCTGCTGGCTGTCTGTCTGTGCCGCCTCGTCTGTCTGCTGGGGGAGGCACCACTGCCATCAGCCCCTGACCATGCCAGCCCCTGTCCCCAGTGGGAATGTGCCCCTGCCCAGTGCTTGGCCCTGTCTGCCCGCAGGGACACCCTGGACCCTGTGGTCCCCAGGTTCTGGGCAGTACCTCATGGGTAGCCCTCTGTCCTGGCGAGCCAGGGGGATGCTGGTGGGGCTATGGGGATGCTCGGGGTGGGGGTGGAGATGCTGCACTCAGGACCATATGGAAGGACTGGAAAGTGCAGAGCTCAGCACCTTCCTGGTGCTGCATTCCAGTGGTGTAATTGTCACGGTCTTGTAAAGCAGAGCCAAGCAAGTGGATGACGAGTGATGAGAAATGATGGGGGGCTGTGAGGGGGAGTGATGGCAGGAACACCCAGCCTGGTACCCTGTGGGACTTTGGCCAAGCATCACCACTGCCCCAGGACCCCCCGAGCAGCTCTGGCGCTGCCCTGGACCCCCGCAGCAGGGCTGCCCCAGCACCCCCCCCGTGCCTCTGGCACTGCCCCGAGGCGCTGCCTTACCGGTACCGTCTGTGTCCCTGCTATGGACTGTGTGCTGGCATCGGTGCCCGGCTGCTCAGGGTGGCTCTGTGCTGGTGTGTAGAGGGTCATGGCGTGCTCTGGTACCGTGCTCTGCCCCGAGTAGTCCTGCGTGGGGTGGGGGTGTGGCGGCGCGTACTCTGCAGGGATCCCGTTCTGGGGGGGTGGGGGGTACTGGGCTGGGGGGTAGGGCTGAGCCATCGCGTCCGGCGGAGCCGTGGCGTCCTGGTTACCCTGCCAAGAGAGCGGCACCGGCCCCCTCAGCTGCTGGCACACCTGGCCTGCCACTTGCCCAGGATGGGGTTCTCATCTCCACAGCCAGCCCCAGCCCCACCCAGCCCACTACATCCCAGCCTTTGGTGTCTCCCTCAAACCTGGGCTGTCTCTGTGCTGTGGTGGCTTTGGGGTCACGCTGCCAGCAGCTGAACCCCATCGTTTCCCACTCCCATCCCCTGCCTGCCCATTGTGCTGGGCTTGGGTAGGACAGAGGTTTCCATGTACAGTTTAACTCCTGAAGCTGCCATGCCCCTCTCCTTGGGAAGGGAGAACTGGGCAGGCCCCATTTTGGAGCCCAGCACAGGGCAAAGCGGCGCCTGGTCAGCAGCATCACGCTGGGAGCTGCACAGCACCAGCACCAGCTGGGCAGGCTGGGAGGAGTATCAGGGAGGGATGCTGATGGCCCTTTGGCAAACACCAGAGAGGGATCAATTAACTGCTAAATATTTAATTAGGCCCTTTGCTCTAACGAAGCTGGCTTGGCTGCCTTGGTCAAACGGGGTGAGCTGCACCCACACCAAGGGCCAAGGGCTGCTGGGGTTTGTGAGGGGCTGGGAGTACAGCGTGGGGCTCCCAGATAGCGCCTGCTCTGCACACCCACCCCTCCACCTACTGTCTATCTTCACACACACCCGTGGACTGTCCCCCTTGCACAGGTGTGCGCTGCACCTGTGGCCGCACAGCTGCAGCCCCCAGAGGCAGAGCCAGGGCTGCGGGGGGCAGCGCCCACAGCCCCCTGGATGCTTTACAACGTGCTGCAGCAGCCTCTGGCCTGTGAAATCCATCTGTGGCTCAGCCCGCAGAGACAAACCCCTTAATTGTGTGTGTCACCGATTTATGTTTGGGAGGGAGGGTGGGGGTGGCAGAGGGATGCACTGGCAGCTGTCATCCCCAGCCCACAGGGCTGTCGCGCCTGTGAGGGCGGCAGCAGAGCCGCACCGGGGACACACGGAAACCCAGCGGGAATAGACCCGCTGCAGATCTGCAAGTCATCGGCAGCACCAGCAGCGCCTGCCCGTGCTGACTCAGCTGCGCCGGACGCGCCAGCCTGATGCACCTGCCTGTGTGGGCTGGGAGTGCAGGAGCCCAGCCCATCGATGGCCCTGCCCCGGGAACTGCCCACGCCACTCCTGCCCACACCCCAGCTTTAATTCTACCTGGCAGGCCAGAGGGATCCATCCTGTGCTCCACTGGGTCTCGGCACCCAACTCCTCTCCATGGAGCTGGCGCACACCGACCGTCACCGTGTCACTCTCCCAGCGCCTGCCTGCCTCCCCAGTGCCTGGTGCTCATCCATCCCTGCCTGACCCCTGGCGCCCTGTGCCTGTCTCTCCCTGCCTGCTAATGCAGAACCAGGAACAGCCCAAGTCCCTCCTGCCTGCTCTGCACTGGATACACCCTCGCTTGTCACTACAGCCAGGATCAGCCACCAACACGCAGGGCCCAGGATGTCAGCAGGGACTGTCCCCACCTGCCCAGGTTTTGGGCCCTCCCAGCCTGTCCCAACAGCCACGTTTGTATCAATTATTAATTAGAGCTGCTGCAGTGCCTGCCAGCCTGGGCAGGATTTAATTCAGGGACTACTAGGTTCCCCTGGTTGCTGCTCATGGCACTGGAGCTGCGGATGATGCAGATCCACAGATCCACAGCTTCCAGCTCATCCCATCCACTTCCAGGGCCTCACCACCCCACTGGGGACAGAGCTGCTCAACTGGGGCTGCTGCAGGGGAGGGTCCCATGGGGAAGGGAACGCTAAGTTTGGCTGTGTGCTGCCCGTGGACATCACCTACTCAGTTCCACACCCCATGCTGCCCCAAGCAGTGAGTGTCCCTCTGTTCCTCCCAGAAGGTGGCTGGAGCCCCTTTACTGAGCACTGACCACCCAGGGGGTCCCTGGGGACCCACCTCTGCAGCCCAAGAGAACCCCAGCTCAGGGTGCCTGGCCATGCAGGGAGCCCACGGCACAGTGCTGGCCACTGGGTGCAAGGGACAGGGGCTCTGATAGACACCCTTTGCTCTGCCAGCACTCAGCCCTCCTGGGGCACGGGGACGCTCCCACATGGTGCTTCTGATGCTTGCAGTAAAATAAATTCTGGTCCTTAACAGCCCTTGGCCTCACTCAAAATGAGACAAATCAGTTCAGTGCCTCAACCTGGAGCAAAGCTGGCACCAAAGGGGGCATGAGCAGTAGTCTGGCACCTCTGCTGCCTACCTGCTCGGGCAGGTACCAGCAGGACTGTGGCACGACCCTGTGCTGAAACACCACTGCCCCAGTGAAGGCAATGGAGAGGTTGGGACAGGGAGCCCAAGTTCCCCTGTGTGCTTTCCCCTTTGCAGTGTCCCCCCTGTGGTGACCTCTGCCCCATGTCCCCTGCCAGGTGTCCCCTGTGCAGTGTCTTCTGTCCTCCCCACGGCTCAGTCTTGCACCACCAGTCCTGCACAGTGGTTGCTGCAGCAGGCAAGGGGTAGATATCATCTTTAGCTGATTAAATGTCCCTCATTAATGAGTTTCTTTAATTAATGAAGTTTTTTTGTTTGCTCCACTTGCTTCTTCCCCCCACACTCTGCCTCCTCAGCACAATCCAGGCCATTTCCTTTCAAGTCATTTAGCGCGTGGGGCCAGTTCCTGCCGACACCGCATTTTGGTGATTGTGCCTGTCAGCTCGGGGCTGACGATGCCATTTCCCACATTTGTTCCTTTTTAAAGAAAATAACGTGCCAGGAGCCCCCAGATGCAGAGGACAGGTCAGAGCAATCACCTGAGTGCAGAGCCCTGCACTACGGATGGAGCAGCTGCCAGCCACGAGCACTTGCGAAGGGCCCCCAAAGCTCGGCCGTGGCAGGAGCCCCTCCTGCACAGCGTGATGGGGCCAGGCACGAGGGCCTGGGGCTCTGGGCTGGTCATCAGCACCTGTCCCCTGCTGCTCCCGCAGCTGCCACAGACATGCCAGTTTCCTGCAAGCCTCGTGGCCATCCTGCTGCCTTGGCCTGACCCCAGTCCCATCTCCAGCCCAGGAGCCCACCAGCCAACCCTGCCCGTGGCTGCGCCCTGCCTGCACTGTGCAGTGCTGATGGCGCAGGGGTGGCACAGCACAACACAGCCTGGTCATGGCATGGCACTGCCCAGTCACAGCCCGGCACTGCCCAGTCACAGCCCGGCACTGCCTGGTGATGGCACGGCACTGCCTGGTGATGGATGGCACTGCCTGGTGATGG